TGGCCCAGATCCTGGGTCCCGCCCTGAGAACCCGGAAACAAGCCACAGCCCAGCATCCAGGTGTTGTTTGATCTCTGCTCTTGGGGATCAGCTTTAGAGGGAGGTTGGCCCTCTGCAGGCTCTTAAGGTTGGGACCTGCGTCTGCCCGAGGGGCGGCGCCTTCATCATCCACAGGCATGTGGTTAGTGGTAAATGAGTGGGAAAGAGAAAATAAGCCAAGCCGCTGCCGTTAATTTCCTCTAGTGTGTCGTGACCTGACTATATTTTCTTCAAGTAACTGCTTGGTTTACTGAAAATTTCATTGAAATAAATTCCTACAAGATGAAATTTAAAGGAATTCATATTTTAGGACTCCGGACACTGATACGAAAGTATTCCCAGAACATCTGAACCCTCCACATTTCCAGAGTCAGGGATTATCGCCGCTGTTTCCTATCTTGGTTAATTTAATAGGCAAATACCTTGTCAAGAGGTCCACATTTTTCTGTTAACAACTTAACATAATTTCTTTTCCTTACCTGGGTGTTCAGTTTTTGCTTATTAATTGTAAGGTCCTTTAACATAATTAAAATAAAATAAATAAAAATCTAGGAGATGCAGTATCTTGCATAACAGGAAGCACGATATTCAGAGTCAGGCAGACTCTTGCTTTACCATTGGTTAAGCTCGCTTTCATCTTTTGATGTTGTTTGGGTTTTTTGTTTTGTTTTGGGAGACAGGGTCTCCCTGTACCTCTTACATAAACCAGGCTGGCCTCCATCTCACAGAGATCCACCTGCCTCTTCCTCCTGAGTGCTGGGATTAAAGGCACGTGCACATCTGAAATCCCTATTCTGAATGCAGTGCATAATGCACCGTTCTAAATGAGTCCAGAGCCCTTCCTCTTCCTGTCCTGTGATCATTCTGGCCCCACTCTGACTGATCTTTGTAATAGATTGCTCTCTCACCTGCCCTCTGTCTGCCAGGATTTCTTCATGATTGAGGGCTACTAATGGCACCTCTTCCTGTTTTCCATCACTGCTGCGGAATTTTAAAATATTTAGATTCTATATTTTCTTTATGTGTGT